CGGCCCACCCAACTCTGGATGTTCTATCTTGAGTTATTCCACCATTTAGCGCGAGTTTCGCGCCCCCAAAGTAAGTGGTGTTGTTGCGGTACAACTAGCCACTTGTTGTTTAGCAACGAGGAAGTGGCTATAGTTGGTCTGTTTACCTAATAATAATAATGTATCAGCTGTACGCCGTAACGGCGCTTCTCTGTCGCGCAACCACCACCAGTCGCGCGCGGGCTGAGTATACCGCGAGGACGCCCACCCCTACGCGGATTCGAACCAGTGACCTTATGGTTGCAAACCAAACGCACAGACCACTCGGCCACCGGCCGACTGTTTACCTACCTAGTGGCTGCGTTATATGTGTTAGATGCATGATCGCTCTAACTTTGGCAAGTCATCTGCCTTCCTGTTATATCTCCGCCGTTTCCACATTCCATGGGAACAGCATTCGTCCACGGCGCGGTGTCTGGCAATGGGGCCCGATTTCCCTATTGCTTTTCATCATGACTTTGGACGAGGTCTTCCATAATCTTGTGTTTTCTCAGTAGTCTTGCCGCGCTGACTTTACAGACTACGTCACCTACGCAGACGGTGTAGTCATCTTTTCCCAAGACTGGCTTATCAGTTAGCCAACTGAAGTCGAGTACTCTCAATATCATCGTGGACCGCACAAGAACGACTACTGTCTTGAACATCTCTCCACTCTCGTGTTCCTCGTCCACTGTATCATTGTTCTAAATTGACGATTCGTTCACTTACCTCGTCCTTCCGTTCAACTGGAAAGGTTAATGGTCACTTGCATCTCTGGAAGAAATGCGCTCTCAGAGCTCCCCTGATAGCATATCAGGCTATCTGCTGTCCTTCTGCGATTTTTATCCATCACATTATCTTGGCTCCCGTCTTTGTGAGTGAATAGGCCTCGACAACACTTCAGCAAAAGAGCATTGAAGGACTGCCTTTTTATGTCCTGCCGATGGTCCCTCATCACGGAGGTTACAACTGCACCCTCAGCTCACCACTGGCTCATGCAACCGGCCATGACCTCTCTTGACTGTTCATCCTAGGGGTTCATCTGCGGGTGGGGTCCTTTGAATGAAGACACTCTAAGCTATGAGTAGACCACTTTCCTTATCGCTTCTTTATTGTCATGGAGCTTGTGACTGCAAAGAAACTCTCTTACACATCCTTCAGTTCTGCGCAGTCGCACACGGTGCTCGCTGTAAAAGACATAACAACATCGCCAATCAACTTGTGACTTCAATCCGCTGTCGAGGTATTCATATTACACCCGAAATAAGAATACCTACTTTGAGCTGACTTACCAAATCTCACTTTGCTTGCCATGGAGGAGTTTGCCACGTAAATCATATATGTTGTCATCTGTAATGCAGATCGCATAGAACGAACCTACAAAGTTAATCTATCTGTGGTACAGATATTGTGCCATCGGAATCATGGCTGAATAGGAAAACAATATGAATAATAAGAAAAGAGCACAAAGTTAATATAGACAAGTGTCGTGTCATTAATCAATGCTTTATCGCGGATAAGAGAAGCCGAGGCTTGACATGCTTAACAGGAAATTGGGTAAGGGTTTTCAAAAAAATTTAAGTGAAACTACTATTGTTGCGGGCCCGTCAAAAATCCCAATCCAATTTCTCCCCACAACGCAGCAGTGTTCAGCCACTCCGAGGCGCGTCCCAACTGCGAACCTTTTGACAATGGTCATTTGCAAACTACCACCTCTTCGTGGTGACTGTTTTCCCTAACTTAATAACCCATAGCACTGGCTGTGGTCGCCCTTTGTCGGTCGTAAAAGAGCCTACAGAGCACCAATTACCTTTTCTTTCTCTTCGCCTCAGTTGGGAGTCGGTCGGGTCACGTGATTGCGTGTGAGTCGTTAGCTGGCCAGCCTTCGCGTCTAAGTCATTAGCGCGCGTGTGCGTCCGTTTCCGAACAAGTGCGGCTAAGATCGTTCACACGCTCGTTCAATTTTCCGTCTCACCGGCTAAGCTAGCGTCATCAGGTCAGCGCCACTCCGTTCGAGTGGCCAGCGTTACAAGTCGTCATCGTAGGCGTGCTCCAACCGTGCGAGCGACAATCCTATCACACAATTATCTCAAGAGGCGGCGTTCCCTCAATTATAACAACTATAGACAGTGAAACGGAAAACAGTGAACTTGTCGAGCCAAATTTGTTCGTCTGAATAGTTTACGTATGGTTTTATACAACTTGGCCTGCCCGTAGCCTTAGGGATTACAAGCCGGTTTTGTACTCTGAGAGCAGGGGTTCGAGCCTGCGTAGGCACCGGGCGACCCTTGCATCGATCGGTGGTGGTTGCACAGCAGTGTAGTGTCGGTACCGCGTACCAGCTTACTGTTGATGCCTCTTTTCTTAAGCTACTTTCCATGTTGTTGCCATTAGTTTCCCTAGAAAAACGGTTGCTGCTGGATGCGGCTCTGCTTTCTAAATGTGTGTATGCTTTACGTGCATTATATGTTGGGGTGTAACGCGGCATGGGTGGCTTACTCTGCACCACCCACAGCTCTATCCACACACCCCATATCTAGTGTGCACCCGAAGGAATGAGACGAGGAGGTATGTGGATGGGATCCACGTTTCATCAACGGAGCCGGCCCACACTCCTTCAGCATGCACAGTAGCAGCATTCCTGTCTATTTATTTAGGGAATCATGCGTACCAGACGTACATAAGGCTGTGACCCAGCCATAATCCGCTATTCTAACGAGGCCGTAGTGACAGCCAAATCCGGAACCGGATGCCGCCAACTATGTAACGCGGCCACCGCACTACCGACACGATCGTTGAACACAGCTAATGTACGGGCTGAACTAACATTCTAGGAGTGAATTCCATGTGTGGCCAACATGCATTAAGAAATTCCGTCTATCTTCCAGCTGGCTGTGTTGTTCTGCCAGTTTGAGACCGTGACCTCTCAGTCTGTTGTTGTAGTTGAGCTTTGGCAACTGATAGCACGAGTGAGTTGTTTGGAATTTGGGAAATCATGGTAAAATCTCCACACACTATAAAATCCGAAAATACTCCGGCGCTGTGCTATCCCTCTGATTTTTTAGTGACCCGACGTTGTGGAATCTTCAAGACAATGAAATACCGCTTCTACCAAAGCTGCGATGCTTGAATGAGATACTCCACGTACGGGTGTATGTATGCCGAAAGCAGTTGGGAAAATATAGACGGGTCGAAGTGATCAAGACCACTCTTTAAGAGCCCCAATTTTGGGTTGCTCTTTTTTGAGTATCTGAGCAACCAAGGGCTTTCTTGACCAGCACGCGGAGATCCATTTCTCGAGAACGGTGCTTACAGGTGTGAAACATTTCATGTCCTAGATGGAGGAGTACTCCACATTTAATCACGAACTGAAGACGATTAAATAAACAAATCGTTCATTCTCGAATGCATCGAGGCACACCATAGCAGGCATCTGAACAAAATTTTGCCGCCACATATGTCCTAACAGGCATGTTGCTTTACACACTATGGGAAGATGGCTGAAATGTATAAAATTTGCAAAAATGGGAAGAGTACCGGCGAGGATAAAATCATTTGTGGTGTGACGACAGACTGGGTTAACGTGTGCACTGCTCATTCATTAACCTTACGCAGGTCGTTTTTGGACTCTATGTAGTAGTCTGGCGCTTTGATCGGCTGCCAAACTTAGATGTCGTCGGCATAAAGTGAACAGTGTGAAGTGATGCAGCTGCTCACTAGATGGCTAATGAAAGTCAAGGACAATCGGTCTGCATTCAAGGGCGATCCCCACTTATGGGCAGTCACACTTTCTTTAAGCATCCAGTAGTATCCACAATTCCGTTATTCTGAACAACCAAGGATTTATTTGTCCTGCTACTGCAAGACATCTAGGCCTTTCTCGGTTCGATATTGTCAATCTATGTGTTTCCACTATTCGCGGGGCACACAGCTTTTGTGAAACGCATGTACACACAGCCTCTTCTGTGCACCTTCCACATAACACACATACACACACATTTCCCAACTTGAGGTGCAGTTCCGCCCGGTTTGTGAAACCCTTCACTTCGGACTATTGTCCACATGTAGTGCCAGCACATTGCCTTGTATTTTAACGAAAGCGTCGGTCACACAAGCTGTCGGAAATAAACATTATTACTTCATGTATCGCGAAAGCTAGACCTGGATTTCTGAACCTTCGACGTCTGTAACATCAGAAGAGGTTACCTCAGGGTCTGATACGCAGTACACACGAGGCCATAATGAGGACCATTCTCCTGTATAGGCGTGGGGGTTAGCGTTTTCGGTTTGAAGGCCAGAGACGCCTCAAACTTTTCGATTCTTGTCGCCTGCGGATCACTGCTGGTGTCGGACGATATCAACGTATCCATAGCGACGTGTGCAGGTGAACGCTAGGATGCGAAACGCAGGTTAGTTCCATGGAGCGAACAATCGCCTGGTTCGAATGGACTATTCGTATGCTCTCTACTGAAAAAGATTTCGTCTTGTTTGCATGGTGTATTATGGGGCATGACTTTATAGGGGGCAAAAGTTGCGCTGGCAACGGGAAATGAAGCCAGTGATAACAAACCTAGATACTGTTTGTCCATCTCTTCTTCTGGGTTGGAGTCCACGTGACTCTCCTTTTGGCTGGTTCGAAACTTGACAGAGCATGACTCGCAGCTGTCACCATTGGTACGTTTGGTGTTGTCCCCTATTCGGGTTGCCTGTAGCTGATAGTGAGTTACCTGTGAAGTACGGTTGATTTCAGAGCAAGGTACCAAAAACCGCAAGGTACCTATCCCTTAGACGTTGTGTTATCTTCACACGAAGCCAGCTAACCGCGTGCTGTTGGTAAGGCATAAGCGTCTTTACCCATGGATATTTGCTAATCGTATCAGTTGTATGACAGCGAATCATCAGCTCGAAGTACCAATATGATATTTTATAGATCATGGTGATGATGCCGATCTCCGTTCAAATCCTCTTGTATGCTCTTGTAGATGCAACGTCCTGGGTCATATGCAACAGGGGAATGAGCCCTCCCCATTCGATCGTAATCTGGGCACCAAACTTGGGTCCAAGGCTATCGATTGGCTTGATGAGAAAATTAACGATGGTCTTCAGAGTAACGGTGAGTCCATTAGTATACTCCCTACATCCCCTTTACTGCATCCCATGGCAGATTTTCAGGCTTTTTTATGAATATGTCGTCCAATCCGTATCAGTCAGTTTTCACCCTATCTCATGGTATTCGCATTTCACTCGTTCCACCTGTGGACACATTGTTTCGCCATCTCATTAAATCTGAGAAAGCCTATCACGTGCCTCCGTGGCTTTTAATACCGTGCTATTGTCACATCGTTGATATTTGGCTCCAATTAGATTTTGGCTGCCGTACCAAGTTAGTACCGTGACCCCACCTCCGTAGCCCGTCAGTGTCGAGCACCATGCTCATTGCGACAAACACTAGTATATCGCGTGGAGTCATGATTAGTACAGTTAAGCCAACTGGTTACTGTTCATCATACGAACATCACGTTAACGTATAGACTCGTGCCATCTGAGGCGTGTTTTCATATACCGCAGTTTCCTTTGAAGACTTCTCAGACTAGAGCCATCAGGTGTGTGGGCGCTGTATTACCGACTCATGTTGGCGGTCGTTGTCGGCCACAGTCTTCTACTGCCTCTGGGTCCGTCTTGTGGTTGTCAGTACTTGTCACGGGATTGGTCCGGCTCGGAGTGAAGCGGTATGTGGCTGAACCGGATAACACATCGAGATGAACTTCTCTGTCTGGGGCAATGGTTATCGGATACGATCAATGTATTAGTAGTTGCATTCGAGAGTAGCTTTTATTGCCCGTGTAAGATGTCATCCGATTCTTGGAACATACATAGTGGTATGTCTGACGTTTCTGGCCCTTCACGTATTCCTAGGTAATCGGTATTCTAGCATACAACTCGAACCACTGTGAATCCTGAATTGAGCAACTTTGACAGTCGGTCCTTCTCATCACTGCTTAATGGATCATGGAGATATTGGAAATGTTGCAACCATCCGTGGCTTTGTCTTAGCTCTCCTCGCCACCCCACAATCTCACACTCTACTCTTTTGATCGCTCTCCACACTATTCGTGTATTGGACGGGCTAGCCTCTCGTGGCATTTCAGCGATGCTTACTAACCTACCTATCCTAGTGTGCCTCGAGATATTTTACCTCATTCTTGTAACTTTGCTTGGCTCTATATCTGTTGGTACGATTGCCTGGTTGCGACGCTGTCGCAGTAAATCATTTCTCTCCTTGGCGACACCGTTTCTGTTTGCTGTCTATGGTTTCACCCAATGGACTAAGCCTTGACTGTCCGCAGAACTGGATTGCGTTGTTCTCGCTTATTGAAGCGTCCATAGATATTTGCTTTATGATCTAATATATAGTTGCAATGTTCTGGAGTCAATGCAGCTACCAAACGCAATGTGATCCCCTTTCCTAAGTAACCTGTCATATATAACTGGAAAACTGGCTCCAACACTCGTGTACACCGTTTTCATCTTGTGGTTTAAAAAATGTGGTTGCATCCATCGTTTTACCATGAGCATTCTGTATCCATCTGAGCGGTAGTTTCCTCACACTCTCGTATTATCCGCAGGCACCGTCTATTCTCCAAATCCGGATACTTGTACCTTGCTCGGGATAATTCGGCAACACGCTACCTTTAGCGGAGTCATGGACCTGAAACTAAACACGGACTTTAAGTGAGTTCGCGCGCTATGCATCATTCTGGCTCCTTCCTGATCAAGTATGCTGTTTCTCTCTGGATTAAGCTCACTTTCTGTGTTGGTTTCCTTCGATTGGCTAAATAGAACCATTTGTCCTATACCGTTAGGAAACGGTCAACAGTACAGTTTTCCTCCGTCATCGAATCTCGAGCTTCCAAGAGTCCCTAACCCCGTTCATTTCATTCACTTCCATTGTCAACGTTTTCACAAGCATTAGGGCTTGCGCTGCAGGTCTGACGGAATGGTGTACTTTAACAAATAGACTGCGACTACAGTCCAGTATATGAGAACAACAAGTACGAGTAAACTGGTGCCCATACCATGGTGGACACGCCCAGACCAGGCGTTTTAGCCGCAGAGCAGTTAGTCAGAAGCAGTCACCCATCGGAGCGCCCCCACATACAACCGTGCAGAGCGAAGATAGGAGTGAAAGCATCCACAGAGAGGCAACCGCCCACTAGAGAAGATGGTAAACTTCGAAGAGGGGTCTGCATGCGTGGGACTCGGCGCCGTATTTCGGCTGTGGAGACAAATGGTACCATCCGCTGAGTGGGTGTAACGCCGAAGCAGATGAGGTGTCAAGACATTGAAACCAGATTGTGTGAGGTCGATGAGGGGAACACAACTTCAGTATGACGGCTGGTCGTCTGTGTCCCCAGCAGAATATTGCACCAACACAAGATCACCATCAACGGATTAACTACGATTTACGTGGCGATGCTTTTTGACCACTGGGAACCCGTGCCATCCCCCAAGGTAATGGCGTTATAGCTGCCTATCGGTTTCTTTAGTCTCCCCATGTTCCCCTTACGGGCACGCCACAACTGTCGGCCGACAGTGAACCGCGTACCCGCTCTGTCAGCGTACCAGCGTTGGCTCACCGAACGTCGTCATCGTCATCACCATTATCCTCATCATCATCATAACACATTAGTTGAAGGTAATAAACACTTCAAAATGCAAGGATGTCTCACATTGTTGATAAAAGGAAATCGCTACCAACAAAACGCATTGCCCGCAACTTTCCATCGATGGTGAAGATTTGACCACTTTTACGTCAATAAAATACTTGGAAGCGACAGTGGCCACTGGACTTACCTAATTGCTTCACGTGAACGTTTGGAAACTCATTCAATGTTGCATATCTCAGGTCTTCTTCTGTACCCTGATTTTGACCAAACTTCTTATCACTGCATGTGTGTTATCCTACTGTTATTCTGTGATCTTATTCGCTCTCCTGGGTAAGGACATCAACAAAATTGCCAGATGAGTAAAGCATCTATCCTAGTGTTGTGGTATTTCAAGGCTAGAACGTCATTATTTCCAGCCATGTCAACTCACGTAATAAGTTTCCATCTAAGATATCAATGCTAGCCCGTTCTTTGATGGAAAGCTGGAAGTCATCGTGGCGCCATAAATGCCTTATCCTGTAGCAGACGAGACAAGTTCTTGAGATACGCATCGAAATGTCGTTTCCAACAACCCCACCAGCAGTTATACAGCTTCCCAGGTAGGCAAAACTCTGTACCACTTTAAACGTTTCCCCATCGATGGTGAGTGCGCTTTGCACGTGGATGGTGTAAAGTGCATGCCATACTTTGACGCTTTAATCGTGAGGGGGTTAAGTGCAAGTTAAACTGCCTGCGGCCCGTCACCCGACAAGACAATATTATCAGCGTAATCCAAATCAGCCACCCGACTACCTGGGAGGAGCTCAACGCCAGTGTTCAACAAGTCTTCTAGAGTATTTTTGAGGACATCCTCAATCGCAAAGTTGAAGAGTAATAGAGAGTTAGGGCATCCTTGTCGAACCCCACTGGTGACAACAAAGGAAGGCGAAAGCTTACCATAAGCCCTAACTCTACCAGAGGTCAGACTATACAGAGCACGCAATATGGAAATGAACTTCCTTGGAATACCATTCCTCAACTGACAGTGCCACAATGCAGCGCTGTCCACAGAATCAAAGGCAGCACGGATATCCAGTAACACAACAATCGTTGGCTTTTGATACATATGGCGGAGCTCGAGAATCTGACAGAGTGTGAAAGTCTGATCAATGCATCCGCGACCAGGACGGAACCCTGCCTCTTATTCTCGCTGTAGTGATTTAGGCGTTGGGGATAGCCTGCAAAGAATGATGGACACCAGAATCTTGCAAACGACGGGAACCAAACTTATGCCCTTGTAATTGGAGCAATTTGTGCGCAGGCCCATTTTGAAGATGGGATGACTATTGGATCACTCCACGATGATGGAACCTTCTCTTTCTTCGGACTTCTGAGAACCAAGCGGTGTTTTCGAACCAGCGAAGAGCCCTTATCTTTAAATAGAGCATGAGGTAGATCATCATGGCCGGGTGCCTTATAACGCTTTAGGCAGCCGCGTTCCCGCCAGATTTCCTGGTGAGAGGGCGGATCAGTTGGGATAGTCCACTCATCACCATGCGCGCCCCAGGGGAAACAGATGGAGCTGGCGGCCAGGAAAACTGCGAGCGAAAATGTTCGGCCCATCGCTCCAACCGTCACTGATGATTAATAATTAGGGAGCCATCATCCTCGCCGATTGTTTCGCTTACTCCTGTTCGAAAGCCTTCGGTGGCTCGGATGAGGTGGAACAGTTTTCTGGTATTACCAAAGAGATTAGCAAGTTCAAGCTCTCTTGCATATTCACACCAGGTCTCATGGTCCTTTTGTAAGCTCTTACGCAACACTTGATCCAGGAATCGGCGTTCCTCACTAAAGCTGATGCCAGCTGGGATCCAGCGGCGTCTTTCCATCAAGGACAAGGATACAATGGTAGTCCAGCTTTTTGGCGGGTGACAAGCATACATTAAAGCGTCTTTGATGCACATCCGTTACGAATTGAGACCATCGTCTGAGGATGAAGCAAGTATTGTTGACAGAGAAGCCTGGTACTTGCCTAACGTCGCAGCGTGTTACAGATTTTCGACCTTCGGTCGGTAGTACGTACGTCTGGATGATCCTCCGAAACGCATGTAAATTTTGGCGCGAACTAGTGCATGATCGGAGTCCAGATAAGTGGACCAGTACGACCTGCAGTCTGTTACGCTTTCGCGCCATCTGTAGTTTATTCCTATGCGGTCAAGCTGGGACCATTCCTGTGTTTGAGAAGGCGTACGCCAGGTAGCAGTCTGTCTTTTCGAATGACGAGAACTTGTACTCCAAATAAACAAGCGATACTCAGAACAAAGGGTATGTAGTCTGTCTCCATTGTCTGATCGGCTGCTACCGAGGCGAAAACTACCCCAAGATGGTGCTCGCTTTGTGGCAGGCGGCCCACTCGTGCGTTAAAATTTCCGAGAAGGATGACAATGTCAGACGTTTTAGCGGAACGCAGAAACTCATGTAGCTGTTGGTAAAAGCAATCCTTGACTGCATCCAGGCTGTTGTCTGTATGAACATAGGCGATGACAAACAAGGCATGCGTAACATGTCGACGCTTAGTTAACTTACATGAACTTCGTAGTCTGACTGCATATAACCGACTATTGACTGGGATCCAGTCAAGCAAAGCGACCTCAGCCCTGTCACTTAGTGCAACCCCGACACCAGCTTGCCCAGAAGCCGCAGCCTCTGGGTCTCCGGAATGATGCAAGTGGTATTTGACGATAGGGTTTGCCGAAGATGTCATTCTGATGACGGTACTGGCGTCTTGCAACATGGTTTCGGAAAGGCAACAGATGTCCACCGAGAGTGTCTCAAGCGTACGAGCCAGACATGCTTGTCGTCCGATCTGCATCAGAGTGCGCACATTGAACGCTGCAACACCGAATGGAGAACCAGGACGAAGGAAAGCTTAGGCTTCGGGTAAGTGTAAGGCTGTTGTGACCACCAGGCAACAAACACCAAACCTTTGGCTCAGAACTCTGTCACACGCGACCAATGGGCTGTTGTTGACCATGACCGTTGAAGACATAGGTGTAGTTGACGATGATGATGGTGCTGATGATGATGCGCGATGAACAATGATTTATAACGGGTAAACAAGCAGGTGCTTGACATGTCCCGTAGGGTGGTTAGAGTGAGCAGAGATAGATAAAGGGATAATGGAATCGTCGGTTCGGGCGATTACAGATTTAACTGCACTGCCGTATAAAAGGTTTGAAATTAGAATGTGCGCGCACAAAGCCATAAGGGGGTGGTTATTGATCACTTAATAGGCAAGAAAAAATAAAAGATAGCAAGGACAGCGCTTACTCATGTGCAGCTATCTTGGGTCGACGGGATATAGAAATCCAGTTTCTACAGTAGTAGCGTTTATCACATTGTGTGCAAGGGGTTTGGAGTGACTCGTTCTCGAGTAGGGTTATGATACTGTCCACTGTCTGTTGTGCATTAGTGCCAGCATCTAGTGATCATGGTCTATACCATGTAGTATAAATGTGACCGTTTTGTCAGGGCGTTTTTTGAAAAGGCATAGGGTGAGAGCATTACTTACATGTTCCGGGAGGGCGTTTCAGGGCTGTGACACTCGAAGGGTGAAAAAGTTTCGCCGCCATTCCAGTCGGCTGTACTGTGTGACAAGCTTAAACTGATGACTTCTTAGCAGGGTGCTTTGACGGAGTATCAAACGGGAATGGCGTGGGTGTTTGGGGTTTCTTAGGATCTGGTACACCATTATGAGATCACCTTTTAGACGCCGATAACGTCTACTGTATATTTTGAGAGTCTTCAGCCTGAGTGGGTAGGGAAGGCTGGTCAGACCTCTGACGCTCTACGTTGCCCTACGTTGTGCAGTATCGAGCGCGGTGAGATGGTGCTTGAGCCAGGGTTGCCACGCTTGAATAGCGTATTCCGCGTGCAGCTTCACGTACACACTAAGAATTGTTGGAAAGGCTGAAGGGTCAAACTTCCCGAAAGCTCTGCGAAGAAAGCCGAGGTACTGATTTCCTTTCTTAGCTACGTTTTCAGTCTGCCGCAAACAACCGAGGTCATCTTGAACTATCACGCCGA